GCTGGCCCCTGCTGTCCCTTAGCGTCCCACCGGCTGCAGCTGGTGAGACCGCGGTGAGACCCGGCAGCGCCCGGCTGAGCGCCGCTGCTGGGGTGGGGGGCAGAGGCTGAGCCCCCCATGCAGCGGGGCCAGGCAGGGTGGGGAGTTTGGGGAGGGCAGCGGGCAGAGGCGATGTGACCAATCTCTCCCCCCAGGGTGTTGGCATCTCCTCCGATCAGAACTACGAGGCAGTGTCTGAGCTGGACCTGGAGCGAGAAGCGTGCAGGTAGGTGCCACCTCCTCCAGGCTGCAGGGGCTGGGCTGGGCTCAGGGCCTGGGGTTTGCATGCCAGGGGGACAAGGGACACCCCTGGGGACAGCCTGAGAGGCGCTGGGGGCTCTTCCCCCACCCTAAAGCCGATAAGGAGTGTCTGGGATCAGGGCAGCAGTCTCAGGAAAAGCCGATGGACTCAGGGATGAGAAGGAGCCATGCTGGTGGGTGGCCCTCGGGGGGACAGAGCTTGCCAACGGATGCTCTGGGTGTACAGCTGGGGCAGTGCCAGTGACACTGGGCCCCCGCACCCCGGGCAGAGCCTGGATTTGGCTGCTGGGAGCAGGGAAACACCACGGGGGACAGGGATTGCTCAGAACTGGGATGGCTCCAAGCTCCAGATGAAGGGATACGCGACCTTCAGCATCATCAGATCAGCATTTGCTGATCTGTTGCACTGCGGTGGACAGGGAGATTGTGAGGGGCACCTTTAAAATACTTTTGAAATATACTTTCCATAACTCTTGATAGCATCTCAGAAAGAGGAAGGAAAGCTGCTCTTCCCATTTCGGACGGGGAGGGTTCCTTTTCCTGTGTTGCTTAGAGAGGAGGAGGTGATGCAGCTCTGTGTCCTTCAGCTCTGCCCGTGGCCTTGCCAGCCAGTGCATCCCCATGCCCCTGCTTTTCTGGCCCCGGTGTTGGTCGGTCCAGCCCATCCCCTGCTCCGGGTGTGGGACACATGGCAGCCAGAGGAGAGCCAGCATGGGGCATGGGTGGGGAACTGCAAGTACCTGGGGATGGGAGTTTTGTAAACATAAACACTAAAATCTGCCATGGAGCCTCTGAACCCACAGTTGGATGCTGGCCTGTGGGTCGTGATCTCCCTCCAGTGGCCTGTAGAGCACTGGGATCCAAAGCATCCCAAGGGCATAAGCACTTGGAGCCCTGGACCCACCAGGGACTTTGCAGCCTGGTCTTGCTGAGAAGAGACAGGATGCGACCATCAGCAGAGCATCACAGGCTCACAGGTTTTGTTCTCCCAGCCTGAGCACTAAGGTTGTCGGGGTGTGGGAAGCTGAGCTTTTCGCCTTTGAAGACTTTTTGCCATGTGCTCATGGACCCCATCAGCCAACTGCTCCAATGCTTTCCCCCCCAGACCCCGCCAGTCCAACCACCATCCCCTGGGAGCAGAGCTATGGGCTCCTGCTCCGCCACCGAGCCGCTGCCGGCCAGCCCTGTCCCCTGCCTCTGTGGGACCTCCCCAACCTCCTCTTCAACACTGGTGTTTCTCCAGTTCAGCCAGTTCCTCACCCTGCTGACTGGCCCCTGGTCGTTGGGGACGACGCGAGCATCTTAGCAGCCTGATCTGGTTGAAGATGTCCCTGCTCACTGGGGGCGGTAGGGCTAGGTGGCCCCTAAAGGTCCTTCCAACCCAAAGCGTTCTATGGTTCTGTTCTATCATCTCCCACAGGCTGCCAACCCACTCGTTATGGGAAATATTTCCCAATCCCAAACTTCAGAGAGGCCCTCCTGCCCCTTTGGCACAATATCTTCCTCCTACCTGAGATACCTCCTCTTGCCCCATTCCGGGGGAGTTTTGTCTGGAATTGGGGTCTGGGCAGTGAGCGCCAGCGTTAGCGATGGGCAGAGCCATCTCGGCCAGCAATGAGATATCCTCAGAAAAGAGGAAGAGGAATGCAAAATTCCCCTTAAAATGGGGGCTGGGTCTCTGAGGGTCCAGCAGGGCCTGGAGTACGGGGTGGGATTTGCCCGCTCTGACGCTGAGCACCTTCATCCAAGCTGGTGATGCTCAGCGCTCTGAAATGCTGGTGCGGGGAACAACGTCTGCCCCACCCAGACATCAGCCTCAGCGGAGAGGGACGGAGGCACAGCAGTGCTTGTGTCACCCCGTGGAGCTTGGGGGATTGGGTCAGGCATCATGGTGAGGATGGTGGGACCCTGCCCTGGATTGCATCGAGACCCGTGATGAGATGATCCTCGGGCAGATTCCTACCCGGACTGCTTCTCTCCACGCCTCAGGGCATCCTCCCTGCAGGAAAAGAAACACTGGGAATGGTGCATCCTTGGCAGCTTCTTCCTTACCTCCCTACCTACCTCCAGGTGCCCACTCACAGGTTGATTGTCTGGCCCATAACCCCCAGTTGAAGTAACGAAGGTCCATCAGCTGCTCCTTGCTCCCTTCACCAGCAGCAGATCCCTTTCTTCCATCACCCATCCTCCATCCTCCACCAGCTCTCCCACATGAGCACTGCCAGGCTGAGACTGACCCAACTTGGTGCACCTCAGGCATCACCCTCCAGGCTCAGCTGACCTGGAAATACCCTCTCCTCTCCCTGCGGACTCATTTGGCTCGAAGCTTAGTGGTCTTCACTGCCTAACACCAGCTGAAAAGGGTCTTGCAGACTTGGTCTTTGCAGACTTGTTGCTTGGAGGCTTCCTCTACCAAATCTGTCCTCAAGGGCAGAGCCAGGAGCTGGCTTGGGTCTTGGCACACTCCTGGGAGAGACCCGTGGGCTTCCTGCCGGATGCCGCTTGTCCTCCAGCTCTTTGTGGCTTCAGTGGCTGTAAATCATTGCTCAGGAAGGGGCTGCCACAGATTTTTTCCCCTTTTTCTCTTGCCCTGACTCATTCAGTCTCCCACTCTGCTCTGGCACTCAAGGCTGATGTCCACCTACAACATAGAGTCCTCCAGCCCACCCCACTCCCTGGCCAGTCCCTCATGGAGAAGCTGGACACCAGGGTGGGACCCCAGCCAGATGAATCGCCCCACCAAAGGCTGTGTTACGCTCATTAAACAGCAGTTTCCGCTGTGCTCTGACCCTCCAAGCCGCCCATGGCCATCTCTTGTCTTTCTTGCAGACACTGGAGTCAAACAAGCCATTTTCCCTCTCCACCCACCTCCTCAGCCCCATACACCATCCCACTTCTCCGGAGCCAACCCCTAGCCTGGGTGGCTCCGAGATAACATCCTCCCAGGCCAGGCTTCAGGTCTTGCTTCTGTCCCGCACGGTTCAGGGACATCCGATGTCTGATGAAGAATCACAGAATCGTTTAGGTTGGAAAAGACCTTTAAGATCATCAAGTCCAACCACTGAGGTGCCTGTCCAGGGTCAAAGCACAGGTCCATGCACTGCCTTGGCTCCTACGATGAGGCAAGTGCCCAAAACCAGGTGTTTGGAGAGTTTATGATGAGGGGAGGTGTTTGGGGTCTTTCCCCTTGTCCAAAAGCATTTCTAGCACGTGGACTTGAGCTGGAGATGGTTTCTTCATATTCAGTACCCCTCAGTGGGTTTCTCCTCCATAAATTTCTCCTTCCACAACACCGCATGGCAAGGGGTCCCACAGGTTCAGCCGCTTCTTTCCCATGTGGTTCTGCACCTTGCTCCTGTTGGCTTTACCTGATGTCACCCAGCTGCTGTGACTGAAGCAGGGGTGGCCGGGAGATGCCCTCCTGCCCTCCTCATGCAGCTCACGACTTCAGAAACCTACCCTGCAGGCAACGCCCAGCTTGCCCAGGTGCTCCTCAGCCAGAAGCTGTGACCGTGCTTGGACCATCCTCGTTGCCTTTCTTGGAGCCTTTTCTTCATCCCAGCTCTGGATGCCATGAGCGACCCAGTGGCACGGGTGCTCTCCTGGTGCTGGGGTGTCCCGGCTGCCCTGACTCCCTTTCTGCCCATCCCTATTGCTGAGCTCCTGGGACCATCCGACATTTTCCAGCACATTTCCCTTTTGGGGAGAGAAAACTGCCTGGCTGAGAGGGCTAAAGGGAAGGGGCAGGCTTAGCAGTTTATTTTTATGATTTCCTTTGATTGTTACGGCTGGATTGTCTCACCGGGCCGGGCTGGGGGGTTTAGCCTGGCTTCCCAAGAAAAGGAGATGGATGCAGGAGCTCCACCGGCCCATCTGTCCATCCCGGTCCCTTTGCAAAACATTTTGGCTGGACGCAAGAGCAGGCGGGAGGGCATCGTAGCAGAAGGACTTTGCCGGTGCCACAGGCGCTGGCGGAGGGAGCGGGGCCCCCGGTGAGGACGTAGCTGTGGGGCAGGGAGAGGGATGTGGGACTGAGGAGCTGCCTGGCTTCAGTTTGCTGCTGGTGCTGTGGAGAGGGGAAGGAGGGGACACCAGGGGTTTGGAGCTCTGTGGTGGCCTGTGTGGCGTTGCCCGAGGTGGGGAAGCCCATTTTGCCAGCTCGCCCCCCAGCCTTGCCCAAGCCTCAGGCTGCTGGTGGCCATGGGGCTCGTAAGTACCGAGTCCTCCCACCCTGCTCATGGAGATGCAAGCACCCTGGGTGCCCCAAGGAGCTCAGGATGGGACCAGGAGCGTTGTGAGACATCCCCAAATAGGGGAGCCCAGAGGAGGGCTACTAAAATGATCCGAGGGGCTACTAAAATGATCCGAGGGCTGGAGCCCCTCTCCTGTGAGGCCAGGCTGGGAGAGTTGGGGGTGTTCAGCCTGGAAAAGAGAAGGCTGCGGGCAGAGCTGAGTGCGGCCGGTCAGGGCTTAAAGGGGGCCCAGAGGAAAGGGGGGGACAAGCTTTTTAGTAGGGCCAGCTGTGACAGGACAAGGGGGGATGGCTTTAAACTAAACCAGGGTAGGTTTAGACTGCATCTAAGGAAGACATTCTTTACAATGAGGGTGATGAAACCCTGGTAGGGGTTGCCCAGAGAGGGGGTGGAGGCCCCATCCCTGGGAACATTCCAGGTCAGGTTGGACGGGGCTGTGAGCAACCTGGTCTGGTTCAAGGTGTCCCTGCTCCTGCAGGGGGGTTGGGCTGGGTGGCCTCTGGGGGTCCCTTCCAACCCAAAACATTCTGTGATTCTATGAAATAGTCTGGCATTGAGTGGGGACCCCACAGGGAGAGCAGCAGCGCTGCCGCAGCCGGGCAGCCCTCGCAGCCCCATTTCTCGCAGGACGAGCAGCGAGTGCAGCAGCGAGGGGAGGAGCGAGGATGAGGAGACCCGCTCCCGGCTCATAGACCGCATCGTCCAGAACGACACAGAGGGGTACTCCACCGTGGAGGCACCGCGGGCCGAGAGCGCCCCGTTCAGCCTGCCAGCCCACCTCTACCCGGATGAGGTCCTGGACGACCTCACCATCTCCCCTTACGCCAGCTTCACGTCGCTCTCCGAGCCCCGGCCCACCATGCTCAGCGGCTGGCTGGACAAGCTCCCCCTGCAGGGGTACGTGCCCACCCGTGGGACAGTAAAGCCCCCTCGGGCAAGGCCGGTGAGGTGGGGACACTGGTCACCGTGCTGCCAGGGCAGCCAGACCTCCCCACAGGAGGACAACCCTCTTGGGTGCCCCGGCCGTGCCGCAAGGGTCTCTGTGCAGCCACCCTGGGGGAAAAGGAGGGGTCCGTGAGCAGATGCGGGGTCCTCGGGGGGACCGACCGTCCCCTTCCCAACATCCCTGTTTTTCTGCCATCCCAACAGGAACTACGTCTTCCAGAGGCGCTACGTCCGTTTCGACGGGAAGAACCTGATGTACTTCAGCAGTGAGAAGGTGCGGAGGGGCAGGATGCGGGCGGGTTGCCTTCATACCCTGTGAGCTGCCATATCCCCTTTGCCTCCCCTCGTCCTTCTGTAAGGAGCCAGCACTGCTTTACCACGTCCAGGGTGGAGCAGCCGTGGCCCTGGGGGGCTCTGAACACAGCCTCACCCCGGGGAAGCAAGGGTCCCTCCGCCAACAGGGAGCAGGCGCGGGGCATCCCGCTGGCTCGTGAGCCCTGGGGCAGACCGCAAACGGGGAATTTCTGGGTCCCAGCCATGGACCCATCCCTACCCGAATCCTCAGCTCCTGCTGGTGTCCTCCGGGCTCTGCTACGAGGCAGCACCCAGCCAAGCACCTGGGGGACGTGGGGAGGACGGGCTGCACGCAGCTTTTCTCGCTGTGGGCGCCAGCGCTGTGGGTTAGGTGCATGCAACACTTGCCTGTCCCATGTCCTCTCGTCCTTCTTCGGTGTCCTTTTAGGGGTGCAGGTACCTGCCATGCCTGGGGGGACTGGCACTGCTGCCCCAGTCCCACAGCACAGGGGCTGGCCTCACATCGGTCGCACCCAAGCAGAAACAGGTCCCATGCATGGCCCCGGCGCAGCCACTATTGCAGGAGCTTGCAGGCATCCCTGCCCCATCCCCTTACCCCTATGGTTATGGCAGCAGCGTGCCTGGCAAGGGTGGAGGGTTTGGAGGTGCCCCACCAGAAGGGCAAAGGGGGGTGACCCTGCCTGGGGCTCGTTCCAGGACCCCTACCCCAAGGGGGTGATCCCGCTGTCTGTGATCGAGATGGCTCGCTCCACCAAGGACAACAAGTTCCAGGTTTTCACCAGCCACCGGATCTTTGTCTTCCGCGCCGAGAATGAGGGTAGGTGAAGACCCGGGCCAGGGCCCACCAGTCCCCAAGGAACCGGCCCAGCCTCCCTCCCTCAGCCAGAGCATCCCAGGGGCAGCTCTCACCCCATCCCCAAAACATCTGGCCACGATGTCCCAGGGGACTGCTCCCCTGCCTGGGTGCTCTGCCCCATGTCGGGGCTGTTGGAAAGGGCTCAGACCTGCTCCCTCATGCCTGGTCCCCAGCCCAGAGGAATGAGTGGTGCTCCACGCTGCAGAAGAAGGTGACAGACCAGCGCCTGGTGGGGTCCCGGCCCCGGCCCGCCAACACCGCTCACTGCCAGAAGTCGGGCACCCTGGAGCTGAAGGGCCAGAAGTCCAAGGTGTTTGCAGCCCTGAGCCTGCCCGAGATGTGGCTGTACAAGAGCGAGCAGGTTCGTGGCCGGACCAGACGCCCCGCTGGCATGGAAGCTGTGCCGATGGTGGATGGGGGTGAGAGGGATGGAGGGAGCTCAGCCGGGGTTGGTGCCAAAGGGAGAGTAGAGAGGAAAAGGACGGGCAGGAGAAAGGGAATGGGGGAGCGGGAAGGTGGAGATGCTGCGCAGGGCAGCTGTGGTGGGAGCCTGGGCTTGGAGACGCAGGGACTGCCAGGAGCGGATCCCCCCCCCCAATCTCCTCGCTACCACCAAATTATCCTCACCTCTGCCCGGCGCTTGGGTCTTAGTCACACCAAAGCGTCCCAATCCATCACAGGGCAGGGGCCTCGATGACCACGAAATCACCGTCGAGCGTACTTGCTGTGACGTGGGCTCGCCCCACAGGGGGCATTGGGTCTCTGCCCACCCATTGCGCCCTGCCCATGGAAATCCCCGCCTGCCAAATTTTCTCAGCACCCCTGATCCTTTTCCAGTTGCCAGTTGGCCTGGAGCTCCAACCCCTGCGGGTTTCGCTCGAGTTGATATTGCTTTATAAACGTGCCTGGCTCAGCATGGACTCAAACCCCTGGCGCAGAGGGGTGTGAAAGGCCGGGTTCTGGGGGCTGTGGGCAGAACTTGCCTTTCATTTTAAGCTGTAACGTACTCGCCGGACACTTTACTTCAGCCCACATGGGGATGCTGACATGTGGCGGGGTAACAGGTCTGCCCGGCCAAAGCAGAGCAGTGATGGGAGCGGGGGCTCCTGACTGGGGCCCCAGCATCACAGGCATGGCCAGGGTGCTGGGTTGGCCACGGCCGCAGTGCTGCAGAGCCAACACTGGTGTCACTCCGAATCGCAGTTCTTTAAAATGGGCATCGGCATCTGCTTGATTGAGATGCGTGGCTCTACCATCCGCGAAGCCAAGAACCGCAGCTTCGAGCTCATCACCCCCTTCAAAATATTCAGGTACCCGGGCGGGGGGAGCAGCCGGGTGCTGGAGCCGGGTGCTGGTTCCTCCAGACCCCTGAGTTTTGGCTGTGCTGGTGGTCGTAGCTTTGTGGCGGAGTCGGAGCGGGAGAAGCGGGAGGGGAGGGAGGCCCTGCAGGAGGCCATAGCCGAGATGCTCTACGACTACGAGGTGGCGGAGAAGATCTGGTCCAACAAAGCCAACAAATACTGTGCAGACTGCTGGGCTCAGAGCCCCGACTGGGCGTCCATCAACCTGTGCGTGGTCATCTGCAAGCAGTGTGCAGGCCAGTACATCTCCCCGGGGGGCACGTGGGGGTCCCGGCGGGCATGGGCTGGGCCTGCCTGGGCTGGCTGGGGTGTGGGGGCAACTTGGGTGGATCAAGGGGTGCTCACTCTCCTGCAGGCCAGCATCGCAGCCTGGGCTCCAACATATCCAAGGTGCAAAGTCTGAAGCTTGACACCAGCGTCTGGTCCAATGAAATCGTGCAGGTAGAGGCACCGGGGCTGGCACGGCATACGCAGGGGCCAGGCTGCTTCTCCGGGCAGGGCAGCAGCCCCACGGTCTCCCCTGGGATGCAGGGACACCAGGCATCCTGCTCCTCCCGGCTGGCCTTGGTGCTCTCCGTGACCGTGGGACTCTTCCTGCAGCTCTTCATTATGCTGGGAAATGACCGAGCCAACCGGTTTTGGGCCGCCCACCTCCCTGCCGCCGAAGCCCTCTACCCGGATGCCAGCCCTGAGCAGAGACGGGACTTCATCTCCCGCAAGTACCGAGAGGGTCGGTACCGCCTGCCCCATCCCCACTACGCCACTCAGGAGGAAGTACTCCAGGTAGGGACCACCTTGGGGTGCAGGCAGGACGAGGGGGTGCTGGGAACCACCCCAGAGCTCTGGGGCTGAGATGCCAACACCTCCTGCTTGACGGTGGGCACTTGCACCCCCTGTGCCAGGCCGCTGGGGTGGGAGGCGTGCCCCACCATGCCTGCCTTCGAGCACCCCTGGCAGCGGGCTGGGGGTCTCCGTGAGCTGGGACGTGGTCCCTAAAGGCTCCTGTCTCGTCCCAGGCACTGTGTGCTGCGGTGGCAGGACCAGCCCTGCTCAAGACCGTCCTGCAGTTCTTCTCGTCCTCAGAGGCTGGGCTGGCGGCTGACCCCACTGCCTACGAGGGGGCCCCTGGGGCCGACCTTTGGTGGGGACCGGAGAGCAAAAGGCCCAGGAACCATTCAGGTAACGAGGACCCTTGAGCCCCATCTGGCTGTGATGGGGGCGCTTCACCCTTCCCACCACCACTGGGGACAGCCAAGGCATCAGGCTCCTGCCCCACTGCACTCCTCTTTTGGGATGGGGCAAGGCAGCGGGATCCTCTGGAGTCCATTCTCAGGACCCCCATGCCTGGCACGCCCTCTTGCATGAGGGGGGTCACCCTGCCCCCTGCTACCCATGTTTTGGTGGGTGCCTGCTCCCATCCCACTCTCAGCACCATTCCCCACAGGGAGCCCCCGGGCACGGGAGCCAGGTCCGGAGGGTGTCTACAACGAGATCACGCAGCCGGTGACGCACAGCGGGTACCTGTACCGGGCCATGGCCCCCCCCAAGCTCCCAGGTGCCAAGAAGAGCAAAGAGGGTAAGCATGGGGAGCGCAGGAGGGCAGCCGGTGGGGTGCCCACCCCAGCGCTGCTGAGCCGACCCCCCCGGTCCCACAGACTTCCAGCGCACGTGGTGCTCCCTGGAGAGAGCCCTGCTCTTCTTCGAGACGGAGAAATGCACCCAGCCCCTGGGCCACATCGAGAGCGGGGACCTCATCTCCCTGGGCGTGAGCAAAGCCCAGGCGCTCACCAGCCCCAGCCCCACCGAAAGGTACCCCCAGCCGTGCCCCCGCTGCACGCCCTGTGGGCACACGGAGGGCGAGGGCGGGCGGT